ACTTTCCACCCTTGGTTTTCTTTAAAGCCTCCTCAACTTCTTTTTTGCTAATGCGACGGTAAAAATGAAACGTTTTATTATTATTCACAATATTAAAATCACTAAGGTCAATTGTATTTTCAGAAACTTCATTAAAAAGTTTATCAAAATAACTCACCCACCTATGTTGAATATGTTTTTCTAAGAAAAATTCTTTTTGATTTTCATTTTTAATACACTTTACTTGAGTTAAATCTTTACTTTTCTTTTCTCTTTGGTTTGCTAGTTTATACATATATTTTTTACTCTCATTAGTATCTAATCTATTATAAAGATCATTAAAAGCAGAATTTTTAGCGTCACAGATTGTTCTTTTAGACTCTCTGCTGTCCGTTTGATATTTTTCCCAGTTCTCTAAGCTTTTACATTTAAACCAATTTTTATAACATAACTTCTTATATTTTATATTTTCGTGCACTTTATTATTACACCACCAACTATTTTTATTTGTAAATAATTTTTCTTTTGATTCTCCAAGCACATCTTTTGCTACTTGTTTAATAGTATTTGTTACTTTATCACACATCACATTTGCTTCTTCATGAATATCTCAAATTTTGAAATCTTGAATTTTACTCAAAAAAATTATTTTATTTGTGTCTTTTAAGTTTCTCCATCTATTTTTGCAATGATGAGTCCTAGTATTTTTTATTTTTCTACTCTTAATCTTAAAATCTAAAACTAATAAATGATGTTGGGTACTTAAATTTTCACTTGGAATGACCTTACAATCTACAATCACGACGATCTCTTCTTCTCATAAGAAAATAATCAATTTGTGTTTTATTAGATCCCCTCTTATAAGTAATATGATGTTCATGTCTTTTCTTGAATAAAATAATAGTAATAACAAAATCATATGCTAAAGCAAAATCTAAAATAACTCTACCTTCTTCATTAGTTAGTCCAAAACCGTAGCCACCATGAATATTTCTGAAATTTTCTACCACTCTACCGATATGTCTATTTAAATCTCCTCTAATAAAAATTCTTTCTTCAAGAGGTATCATTTGTATTAAGTCTTCTAAGTCATTCCAAAATTTATCTTTAGAACAGGTATCTAAACCTACTTGAGGAGCATAAACACTTATAATATTTAAAATCTTAGTATTAATGATAATCTTAAGGGCTATATTTCTATCACAAACTCTATTAATTTTTACAACATTATCTTTCAAACTCTTATCTATAATTACACCTACACCATTTCTAGTGCGACTCTTACCAGAATACCAAAGTTTAAAACTTAAAGTATCAATCTCTTTAACATTTTCTGCAACCCACTTAGTTTCTTGAATACATAAGATATTAATTTTCCTATGAAATAAAACAAAAAAAAAAAATAGGAAAGAAATAAAACAGAATAAAATAAATAGAAAATACATAATGAGGAAATAAAATCTAATAAAAAATAATAACGGCTAGAGATTGTCTTTATAAATATAATACTTCCCTCAAGTTGAAGCATATCCGGACGCCGGAGTAGTGGCCCTTGCACACTTTTCACTATATTCAAGTTATACAGTGCGTCGCTTCCAGGGGACGCCCTAGCACTTCCAAGGATTCATGTCATGATTTTTTTTCGACAAGTTTTACGCTGGTTGTCGAGTACCTAACACAACCCTTCACTTTTCACATCCGCGCTTGGGACCTGCAACGACAGTATTAAAAAAAATGTAACAAAGAGATGGATAAATAAATCTTGACAAAATATCAGCCCAAATATTTGCTGTAACTAGTTTAAATCCTCTCCAATTTACTCATGCAATATAATGTGTTAATTCAGTTATCTGCAAGATCACTCATAAAAATTCAAATTATTCATATTAACCAACCCCATTTTTTTCTTTTAGGGGCATTTACATACACTCAATTGGTATGTATTGACATATCTAGCCCCTAAACTTTGTTTTTTTTACATTTCTACCAACCAAATCATTATATCACATCAAAAACACCACTAACATAATTTATACAAACATACCTTTTTCATGCATATGTAAAGTGGCATGTATATAGATGTAAAAATTGAAGATCATGTGTTAGAAATGTAAGTACTTAGGGTATTGAGTGGCATGCATGTAAATCCTCTTTTCTTTGGGGCATTTACATACATACCATCCATTTCATATGCATGTACATATCTAAACATCTCTAAACTTTACTTTTTTACATTTCTAACAAACCTAAATCTTCGAAATTTCTTTCGAAATCTTTATATTTGACAAATTCTCATCATTCTTCAACATTAATTTATTAACACAAATCCATTATAACACTAATTTCAACTGCACTTAATACAACAATTAATCACATTTATTTCTGAAATCACAAATCTTCTTACATAAATGGCCACCAAAACCAATTATTCATAAAAAGGATAAGCAACAAGCAGAATTCCAAACATAAGACTGACATTGCCAGACTTGTTTTGTAGAAATTAAAGAGGACAAAAGCAACAAAATAAATTTCAGAATAGAACATTTGACAAATTATATTACCGGATGAGTTTCCTCCAAATAGTTCGCCCTCTGCTTATTTCCAAGCTGGTCCCTGAAAGTCTCAAGAAGTGCAGGAAATGAAGATAACCGCTCCCATGGTTGTGTTGCTGGTTGGAGGGGTGGTCATTGGTGCTCTTTGAAAGCAGGATTTCTTCTGAGTCTAAGCTGGTAAGTGAGTCGACCATGACGTCGTGCTGGCATTCGCGTCGGAAATCCAAGGTGATGGTTTGGAGTTCGTTTGTGTCAATAATTCCTTGGGGCATGCTCTGGAAGCATATTTTTGAAAATGGTAAGAACAACTTTAAACAAGAAAGATGTTCCGTAATATTTTTTGCAGAGGGATCGTTTTAATCTTAAGAGGCTATAAACATGTCAATTTTAGTCCCCAAATTTTTTTTACTCAGATTTGCATGCATACCACTCGGTTCCTATGTATTTACATATCTTACACCTAAACATCATATTTTTCTACGTATATGCTACTTATTTATACATGGAGAGGAATATTTTACTTTTTAAAAGTCAAGATAGTGGTATATTTTAAGTGATATTAAACATTTAGATGGTATAAATGTAAAAAGTAAAATTTAGGAGTTAAAAATGTAAATAAATCGTAATTGGGTGATATGTAGGCCAATGCCCCATTTTTTAATAGAAGATTTAGGTACATACCACTCAATTCTTATGTATTTACATATCTAATAGCTATACTTCAACTTTTACATATATGCCACCTTGTCTGTACATGGAAAGGTGTATTTCACGTTTTAAAAGTAAGAAAAAAACGAATTTTTGATGTTATATGAAATATTTGGAAGATACAATGTAAAAACTAAAGAATAGTTATTAAGTATGGAAATACATAGGAATTGGGTGGTATGTAGGTAAATGCCCCTTTTATTTAATGGAATATTTACATGCGCAGCACCCAAAACCTTATGTATTCACTTATCATGCACCAAAACTTCAATTTTTATGGATAAAGCACCTTACTTGTACATGAAAAGCAGTATTTCACCGTTTCCGCTGTGAGAAAATGCTAAGTTAGGTACTGCATCCGTAAAAAATGAAGCTTGGTGCGTTATTGGTAAATACATAAACTTTGGGTGTGCGTATGTAAACTCCTTATTGAAAATGGGTTGAGATAGTCTCCAAACTCTTTAAAGGGAAGGCTAAGTTAACCCCCACTAAAAAAAATTAAGTGATTAATTTCACACTTCTATAGATATAAAAATTGAAGTTTAGGTTGTAGATATGTAAATACATAGGAATTGGCCCCATTTTTTTAATATACCCACATTAAAATAAAATCAAGCGACTGATTTCACACTTTTATTGATTGTGGGATTAAAATGACTCAATTTAAATAGTCAAGGAAAACAATTTGGCACTTTACTCGATGAGTAATCAGGGTTTAGTGAGTTGAGTTACCTCTAGGACCCAGCCAATATGGGTGACGAAGTTTACATGTTGATTCATGTCTATATCTGCTCTTTGGGGCTGTTAATTTTCATAATAACAGGTTTGGAATTACTAGCGATGAATTCTGCCAAAAAGAATTATGAAAGAACTGATTCATAATGGCTTACCAGCAGTCCAAGCCGTGAATAATCCGCTGGATCTTCAATTTTGGCAATTTTCTTCAGACTATAGTTCTCCTCCTCTGAAAATGCAAATCTGGAGGTGTTTCACAGATTTATTTTCATGAGTTTATAGGAATAAGTATGGACTAGTAAATGTAGAAAAGGAAGTGGCCAAGAAAGCTTGGATTGTTCATCCTTTCAATATGCACAGAAAGAAAACAAAATTATAACAAGTTAATGTCGGCGTTATTTTGTGTTGGAGGGAGTTGCCCGTAAAAAGCTGTCGGTCACCGGAATCGAAATCCCGTCGCCCGCTTCGGAAGTATGTTTTAATTTATATATATATTTAGTTTTAGAAAAATATGAAATCAAACTAACCTTATATTTTTCATAGTTTAAATGAAAGAGCACAATACTTCAAATCTTGTATCTATCCCGAAGGATAAACACAATACTTGAGGATGAGACTCGATCAAATAAACTAAGGAATATATGACATCCGTTTGGTTTACGAAACCTTTGTATTTGCCGACAAGTTCCCTTATTTATTATAAAGAATTAAATAGGATTTATATTCAGCTGGGTTCAGACATGCTTCTTATAAGGGCAAGCCCTTATAGTTAATTACATCTTAAATGATCAAAGTCACTTAAGATAACTCTCGATAAAAATTAGAAAATATTATCTTCAAGGAGTTTCAAATAAGATTGACTCAAATTTGAAACATTTTGTTGTAAGTCCAAAAAAAGAAAAAACTAGGGAATGTCATAGATCCAGAGGAGAACTCCGGTGACTTCTCAAGCTACCCTAATGTTTGGCTTCAGTTTTGAGGAGAAATATTTAGGTGTTTCATCCTGCTAACTTTATTTGTTAGGGCTTACATTCATGTGAAACGATCACACAAATAGCCTGGAAGATGTGAGGGTTTA